GCACGGAACAACAAAGAACAGTTATCGAATGACGTCGGTGTAAAATGATAAGGCTCGTTGTTTGCTATACATTCGCGAGGCGTACCAGACTATGATAGAGATTAGCTTATCTCGACTACGAACCACAAGGAGGTCTCTGTTCATTTGCCAGCACTATGTCAATATTATTTCGCTGACCGCCATCATATGCGAGCGCGAACTTCCAAAACTATAGCATTATATTCGCAACTCTCTCTCTCTCTCTCTCTCTCTCTCTCTCTCTCTCTCTCTTTCTTTCATATTTCTAGCAAAAGAAGTCATAAGAGTTAAAAATTGATTTTCTAAACTTAACAATTAATATTATATGTATAGGAAGAAAGGAGAATTTTATAATTCACTTTGGAGTAAATGACATTGTTTTGTATTAGTTTTCTTTAAGAGAAATAGAACGTTTAGATAATATTTTTAATCGAAAGATTACTAAAGCCAATTGTAAAATTTAAATTAATATACAGGAATTTTATTTGTTAAGTTTACGTTTATTTTTATTTTTCTTTTTGAGAAATATTCTCTATTTTATCGTTAATAAATTTGCAAGCAAAATTCGTACATTTTTTCCTCTACTACTAGACGAAATTAAATATTTAGCTCGATTTTTACAAATGCCCAAATTTTAAACCAGCGCATATTTGTTTACTATAAAAATAGAAAAATGAAACTTAAAGCCGTTGTATGTACCGTTCGCCGAAGTTGTTACTGCTCTCTCTCTCTCTCTCTCTCTCTCTCTCTCTCTCTCTCTCTCTCTCTATGTCTCTGTCTTTCTGGCACGACTTTTATCATAAAGGTCAAACAAATTCGAGTTGCCAAATCGTTCTACGGCTATCTTTTCTAAAACTGCCTGCGATCATAAATATTATATGAGCATCCAAAGTGATTGACATTAATATGTAAGCATTACAAAAGAAAAAAACATACGGACGTGTTTGTTTCAAGACGTAATAAATGCTACCAACTACTTTAATAATTCATTTTATTTGATATTTTCTTCTATTTGTAATATGACTTTTTTCCAATAAATGAAAAATATGACATAAAAAAAAGTACAAAAAATTGAAATTTAAAAACACGCCTACAAGTTATTTTAAATAACACATTTATCTCAGAAGAGAAAGAAAAATCTACTTTTCATATTTGCTTCGCACATCATAAATTATCTCACTTTACAATGTTTTAGTTTTTATCATTTACAGTTGTTAATGTGAAGGAAGGTGGTATTTGCAGTTTTTTCATGTTATAATTCTCTCTCTTTTTCTCTATCTCTATCTTTCTCCTCTCTTTCTCTCCCTCACTTCTATCAAGAAAAATCTAGTTTTAGTTTTACATGTACTTCTTTAATTACATTATGCTTTTATTTAATTGGACGATAATAGTTTAGTCTAAACGATTTTAATTACCTTAGTCCCTATGATACTACGTAATTAGATTTTAATGTATACGTTAGATGATAAAATAATTCAAGGCCTTTTATTTAGTTCATGGCTATCTATTTATTCGTATAGCCGAGATCTGTTATGGTATAGACAGACTAGAATCATTTTGACCGTCTAGGACCTCTAACGGTACCGTTAAAAGATGCGTCAATGGAATATCAATACTACTTTTTGGACTTCAACGTATATTCCATTCACTATACTATTTCGCTCCAATCATATCTATCTTTTTCTCTTCTCGTCATCGTTTCTTTTTTATACGTTTTTTTTTTAATATAAAGAAATAAGAAAATTTTAAATTTGTAAGTGATAATCGGAATTTAAAAAAAGATATTACATTGCTTGTCTATTTTTTAATAATATTAAACAAGAATTTCTAAGATAAATGTGAAAACACAACAAGAAAGGAAGCTTTTAATAGTCAACCTGAGTGAATTTATATACTATTTATATGGTTATTTGAATTGCGCGCCGAATTGATTTTTTTGACTTGAAACGCAAATCAAATTGAACTACAGTAATAACATTACAAAACAAATTAAATTGCCTGGCAATTTAATAATTTGATGCTCATAGGCTTCTTATAAAAATCTTAGTAATGCTGAATAATATATTAAAATTATTTATATGCAGTGCAAAGACCATATTTTACTGTTATTGTGTAGTTTTAAGTAAATAACTTTCAAAAAGGTAATAACATCCATAAAAAAGAATCATAGGATTTATTATCAGAGTTTGGAAGTCAGTTTAAAAATTGACCCCTGATGAGCTTCAAATAAACAGAAACTAGAAACTTGATGAACAATTAAAAATTCTCTAAAACTCCGAGTTTTATGATAAATAATTTTTTTAAAATTCCGCCATATTAAATCTGCCATTTTTAATTTTTTATTTTTGATCTCAGATCAAGAATTATCTTATCTTTAAATAAAGAATTATCAAATTATTTCATAAGCTAAATTTTATAAAAATTGAACGACCAGTTTATAAAAATGACTTAAAAAAGAGACGCTGCCGGTCCACAAAGGGTAAAACTTTTAAATCAACATGTAATAATCAGTTAAAATATTCGATGTAAGTTAATTATTTATATATTCAAGAAAGATAATTAAGGCATTGTACATATAGTGGCTATAAAATGAAAATTATATTTAACTACGGAACACCATATATGTATTCGGTTGTCATTGTCTACAGAACATTCGTCTATAAACGTCCTCCATTCGACGTGACCGTCTGCAACCTCTAACGGTTAACAAAAAAAACCAGACGACAAACCAGGCGAATGTCCTTGAGTGTTTAGTACTTGAATGTCCGCTAGAAGTGGTGGTATGATTACGACCCAACACGAACTCTCTATGTATAATCTACGTATGCGACAATCCCACGCAAACACATGCAGAGTTACATCTATAACTATATGTCATATCTGCCAATTTTCTGTAACCTGTTGGTTATATTTCGGAACGATTAGTCTTCATTACAAAGACATGAATCGGAAATTTAATTAGTTTCGTGATCAAGTTTAGTACTTAATCGATTAAATTAACTTTGACTAATATTAAGTACTTATTAAATACTGTCTACTTTTGGTTATATTTCATAATAAATTACAATTACATTACTATAATTATGCTCTTAAACGTTTTTCATTTTTTATTTTTATAGATTACGATGTCAATTCGCGCGCGTATTAATTGTGCAATTTTTTCGAAGAAATAAAATATGTAAAAACTATTGATCAACATGTCCTTGCAATTCTATCTAGTAATAATCGGCTGATCGATTTACGGCAAAGGTGAAAGGTCACGTATATGGAACACAGCAGATGGCCAAAACTCGTCTATGCGATGCCATCTTTTTCGCAATATACGATAGTCTACAAATATATGTAAAAACGATTGATATAGCAATCTTTAAAAACTAGATGACTTTTTCCATAACTTTTTGAAACCTTCTAAAATTTTATACACAAAATATGCTAAAGTGATATTACAGGAAATAAGTTGGGACCGGTAAAGGGAGCAGAAAAAACGCTTCCTAATTTTTTTCGATAAAATTTCTCGTGCTTAAAATTGAAAAACGGTGATTTTACATCAAACTGTTTACAAGAAAGATAAAAATCCGTTTTGTATGCACTTCGAATAAAATTTCCACATAGCTTACGTATAGAGATGACAGCTTAACTTGGGACAGGTGATTACATAATCTATAAACGTATCATAGCGTAGGTTTCATTGAGTCAACTTATAGAGGACAACCGCTCGCCGACAATAAAAAAGCGCGAGACGGTCGTACGTACATATCGTTCGCTTCGTGTTTTCGGCGCGTATTTTCGACTGCCATCCGCGAGTACCGAGTCAGGGCCTCGCAATGATACCTGCTCGCTTTGGCTAACGTGACGACCGGTGTGTGTAGCGATCTAACAGAAAAGGAATGGAGAGACGCAGCGTAAGAGCAATGCCCCTTGGGTCAGGTTCAGTACCCTTTGGCACTGGCACAAGGCACTCGGAGAACGACGTAACCGGCATGCATCTGGGCACGTATAGGTGTACGCGTACACGCGAACACCTACTTGCATGCGAAATAGCTTTTTCGCGACGCGATAGATAAAAAACTGAACGAGATGTTCCCTTCTTCTCTCCGCTCTCTCGTCCTCTTCTTGCGCGCGTTTCGTAAATTAGGACAGCTCCTCGCGCATCTACTGTAACTAAATATCCCGTATCCTGCGCGAAACATTCTCGAACATCACCGAAAAATTATGCCCGCCTTGCGAATATCACGTCTCGAGATGTTCCATCAAATCGAGAGATTCTATGACGACGCCAAGTACAAGTAATATTATGTATAAAAAAAATAAGGCTCCCAAGAAATAAATCGTAATAAATCGTAGATTAAAAGACAAGCCCATGCGAACTGATGCTAGGTGGATCGCGTGTAAAAAATGTATTAATAAAATAAAGATACAATTTATTAATGTAACTGTCTTTCTTTTATAGGAAGGAAAAAAGAAAAATTTATTACTTATATTCAGACAAATGGTTGTGCATCGCTAAAGATTTAATTTTCTTTAATCCTCTGAAGTTGCCGGTAGGTCTGTTAAACCCAATTATATAAATCTCTTTGTCAAAAATGTCAAATAATTCAAATTTCTTTATGTGTCTTCAAATTTGAATTATTCTTACTAAGATTATACTTAGTATATTCATTCTCTTTTATTTGAATTATATTATTTTAGTTTTTCAAAATTAAGTAATTAACATAAATAAATGAGTTTTACAAACCGAGCGTTAATATAGTCGTTAAAGTTGCAGATTTTCAGCTTCATTAAATTCTTTGTAAATTTTAATAATAATTGACAAAGAAGAAAATGTTCTCTTTTGCTGTTTCTTACGCTCTTACGATCGAATTTTATACTCATCAAGATTTCGCACCGCGCGCAGAGGTGACGAATGAAACGTTCGGAATTTCCGTCCTCGTAGGTTTCCTACACGTGCTTTATCGTACGAATGTATTTCTATGCAATTTCAGTTGGTGAATGGCCTAGACGTACCTCGATACATTTGCGAGACGGAGGTTATGGATGTAAATGTTACTTCGGCGGCGGCCGTGATGGAATACACCATCACTTCCGGTAATCATACCAGCAAGAACGCAAACGGGAACATCATCACCCTTACGCTCAAGAACAATCATCTTATCGTAGAAACAGAGGAACGTGCGGTACGTATGTTATCAAATTTTCGTCGCATATTATCGTAACGCGATAGGATTTTTCAATGTGTCACGACACGCTAATATGCCGCAAAGGGGGTGATGTAAATTGCAAGAAGGTAAAACGAAGCGAAAAAAAATTAGAAATAAAAGAAAAGCGAGTAAGACGCGAAATAAAAAATATTTACAACATTATAAAAATTAACTAAAACTTAAATTATATTTATTCTTATTTCAATCAAAGCGATATAGTTTTTGTAATAAAATTATTTTTAGAACATAAAAAAAAAGATAAAAACCAAGACTTTAGATATCTAATAAAAAAGCGATATCAGTAAAAATGTTATACTGGACACACTAATGAAGCGTATGCATTTAACGATGTATCTTGACAAATTTAGCTCGGTATTTAATCTTTAAGTAACATTCCAAACAAATTTTATCTTTATACTTATATTTTTTAACAATATGTATAGAATTAAATTTACACTATTTTTTTGAGATAGGGAAATGTAAGAATAATTAACTGTGAGAAATTGGGCAGTTCTATTTATTCCTTTTTTTCAGAACAAGATTTTTAAAACAACTATCCGTAGAATGCTGCACCTCTCTATTAAAAATCAATGTGCCACAAATTAAAAAAAAAAAATACTGCTACAATGAAATATCACTTACATAAATCCTCTTCTTTTCTTCCACATTTATTCTAAACAACGAGACAAATGAAACGCTGTAGAAACTGCGAAACTGCGGTCGACGGAATCGTAATAATCAGGTCAGACTGACTCGTTCTGACTGTAAGGAGTAGATTCGTAATTATCGAACTTGGCCGACCCTGGTAAGGTCGGAGGTTACCACCGAGCAATTTCTCCCCCACCTATCGTCCTACTTACGGCCTCGTCTTATTCGCGGAGGCTCGTTCGAGTCGAAGATTCTCGAAATTCGTCCGTCGAGCCACTCGCCTTTGCCGACACCTACGTTTCCTCTTCCTCTCTGACCGCAGTGCATTCCCTTCCCCTTTCTTCCTCTCTTCCTCTTTCTATCGTCTGTCTCGCACGCTTCCTCATTTTCCACCCTGATCTCTCTAAATGCTTTACACTCGCTCTGCTTCTATCCATTCTTCTCGTACGTACGTACCTAAAATGCTCCAACTTTCGAACAAGAAAAAGGCGTGGAATTGATTCGTATAAGAACTGGTAAAAAAGAGAATAAAAAGAAAAAAATAATGAACTAAGTATATACGTATACGAATTCCGATGAATTGGAACGTTTGGCTAGAATAATAAATTTTGAATTTAATCGAATATCATTGTACCTTAGAAATTTGCTTTGTATTCTTTATTATGTTTTTTTTCAAATATCGTTTTTTCACTACTGAACTCAATGTTAAGTAACTGACGTTTATTGCATCTATTTCTTTGCGTATATAAATATGTATCTCGTAGGCCGGTATTAGTCGATTCTTATATATAGGATGAATATTACTCTAAACAATTGTAAGGGACGATTTTAATAAATTCAAATTTTTGAATTTTTATATGACTATACATATGTCAGAAACGGTTTTAATTTCAAAAATACCAAAGTCAAAGAAAAAAATATTGTTTTTTTCAAAATTTTTGAAAATCATTTCGATGAAAGCTTAAATGAAAGTTTTAAAATAAATGAGTGGTTTTCGAAATTTTTGATAAAGAAAAAAAACAAAATTTTTCCTTTAATTAGGACATATGATCATATGAAGTTTTATGAAAGAATTATCTCTCTTATTATATATATATATATATATATATAAAATAAGATTTATATACATATATATAATTTTTTAAAATACTTAATATCTACTCTATATTTAAGACGGTCTTAAGTACAGACTTAAGACGTCATAAACCAATCAGAAGATGGTATTTATAATTCGATTTTATTTTAGGACCGTCTTAAGTAATATCTTAAGAAGCTAATACGATTTTCTTATTGTGTACAGACTGTATTTAAAACGATATTGAATACAAGATCCGATTATGAATATCAGTCTTTATTTTTTATTTAATTTTGAGATTTTAGCAAAAGCTTATTGAGATTTGATACTTGAAAAATTACTTAAAACATAAATAAAGCATTAAAATTATTTTAATCCGGCATTGTGGTGGCTAAAATGTTACACAAACGTTGAGATGGGTCATAATGATCCGAATATTTTTTGATCTCTCGTAATGTCAAGTATAGTTTTAGAAAATAACTAATAGTTTTTATAAATTAATAATCTATTAGTTATATATAGCTAGTGATAAAATGAACTACTATAAGTATATTTCAGTTACTATCTTGGTTCATTATGATCCAACTTTAATGTATGATACGAGGCTAAAATTATATTTATTAAATAATTTGAAAATTCATTAAATAAATTATTAAAATTGATATAACACATTGGTTTAATTACTTGTTAAAATAAAAGAAAGTGAACTTTAACACAGTTTCAATATTTTATAATAATTTTTAACAAAGGTATGTGTAGAAAATGTTACATTTCACATTCAATTTGTGTAATATATTTTACTACATTTGCTTCCAGGTAACGACAGAGGATAATAAACCCACGTCAAGATATAAGGACAGCGGGTGTTCATTTGTGGTCGAAATACAGCCAGATTATAACAAGGAAGAGACGGAAGGTAACAAAGGGTCATCCGATGATGTGACCACTGCTGTCACCGATCAACAGGCTCTGGTGCATAGAGAAGAAATACCAGACGATAAATTCTCAGGTGGATCATTCAGTCTCGTATACATAACACCTTGTTTTTGTGATATTATCTTCTATTTTATTGCATTTCTCACACAGGTTTCGAAAATACACGACTGTTTGGAAGCACCAATACCGGTCTGTCACAATCAGACCTTTCAGTATCCAGTCAAGGTTCGGCCAACCCGAGCTACCGCTACGGCAATCAGGTCGAATACGACTCCGGCCACCTTGGTTATCCTATGTACGGTGGTAATTACGAATCTGATGTATTGTCGCGGAAACTGGAGGGACGATCGAAATGGGTGGAATTCGATAAATCACCGGATATAGAAAAAATACTGTTGGACGATTCTAGAAATTTTACCAGTGAGGAGGAGGAGGAAGAAGATAAAAGTGTAAGTAAATAGAGAGATAAGATTCGATTCATCTGAATTCCTTTTTGTGTGTATATTCGTTTCATTAATTTCATTTTATTAATTTTGATATAAAATAAAAGAAGAACAAACCGCTCGACGGTTAATAAAGCTATTCTTTTATGGATTATATATTTCATCATCATTTTTTTTCTATTAAAACAAAAGTATAAAATATTTCATAAACTATTATTTTTTAATAAATGCGTCTTAATATTTTTATGCATAAAATTATGAGGTAAATCAATTGATAATTATTTTGCCCCAGATAACATATATTGTATGTATGTATATATATATATATATATATATATATAATATTATATATGCATACACAAGATATCCTTAATTTATCCCGGCAAATTTATCTCGAAAAATATGGAAAATACAGAAAAATATTTCAGATAAAAGTGGAACATTTTCGAGGGATACATATTTTATCATGTTATTCTTTTCTAAGTGCTAAAAAAATATAAAGGTCACCTTCACTTTTTAAAAATGGAATTATGTAATTTCTTTACGTAATATGTGATTCCTCCAATTATTCTTCATATAGATGTAATAAAGTTGTTTTAATAATAGTAAAGAAAACACATAATTGCTTATTTTAAAAATAATTTTACTTATATATTTTTTTAAAGCAATTGTGTGTGTGTGTGTGTGTGTGTGTGTGTGTGTGTGTGGGTGTGTAATATAGAGGTTTGTTTCTTTTCAGCCACAATTCTTCGGAAAACCAAAAAATATGTCATCTCTACAAGACATTGAGGTCGCGACAACGCGCGAAGACTCGTTGGAGATCAACAGTTTCCCAGATGCCGTGCAATCGAATCGGAATCTTCAAGTGAACGGCACAACGCCCAATAAGCTCGAAATTATGGAACAGAAAGCTCTGAGCAACGACTTTGCTAGCAAGACAGAGAACAACAAGCCGGTAATAACCGGTATGCTGCTGAAGGACGACGTTCAGGAGGATGCGTTTCAGGAGCAGCAACGTAAATTGGGTAATGGCACGCTGACTCCAGAACACAAGGGGGATAAGACGACGGCACGCAAGCCGGAAGGTAGCGTCTTCGTGCCGAGTCACAAACGAGCGGGCAGCATCCCGCCGCGACTGATCGAGGAGACACTCGAAATGGACCGCAAGAAGTCACTGGACATCTACAACAAGTACAGTCAAATCAAAACGAGTACGAGGGGTATGCTGCCAAGCTTGAGTCCGAAATTCGAGCTGTTGCAGAATGAGGTGAGTCCGATCGAGGAGAAAGAGAGTTAATGCGACACCAGGAAGAATCTCCCATCCGGTTCCCCTCAGCATCATCGTCGTCAATTTTCTGACTGTGTCGTCGGGAACGCAACGTCCTCTGGATAAATTGCAACGAAAGATACTGTAGTCAGGGATTATTAAAAAAAAAAAAATGCAGCGAACACGGTTAATGGTATACTAATGGCGTAGGAATATAATTATATGTTACTTGGTTAATGATATACTAGTGGTGTAAGAATATAATTATGTTAATTGGTTAACAAAAAACGTATAACAAATAGTTGGTATCGTAATAGTCAGTTACGATTATCTATTTCAGCAGATGGCAACGATTTCTCAGATTCGAAATGAGTACCTTTGCAAGTAGCTACACAAATTCTATGTGAACGAGGATATAATGTGAGACGCGTTAACGTTTAATGCAAGCAATTTAATCAAAAAAGAAAAGATGCGGTCGCTGTAAGAATATTCCATATACGATCGCGATTAAAATATTTTTCTTTCTAAATACCTATAACAAGAAGTGTAACATGACATACATTGGCAGCTGCATTTTCTAATTATAATTTAGTAAATCGTTTATTTCGTTTTATATATACGATAACTTAAAATACGGAAAAATTTTGTCTTTAATATGGGCCATGCTATTTAATTCAAGCCGAATAGAGAACTTTTGACAACTGAAACAAACGAGCGATAATTAATGTTAAGTGTAACGTATGCTGATCATGAGCTAATAAAAAAAGCATTGCAAATAGGAAACCTTTTTTTTCATCATAATTTCACATAGATGTAACAATTCATCACTCAACTTGTGATAGTGACATAGTCATATATTTATTTGAAATTAACATTTATGATATTTAGAAAATATACATATATGACACTCGACTTTGAAGAACATGTAGTTGCATTTTAACTTTCTTTCACGAAATGCGTTAATATTTTTCATTCTTAAAATAAATCACTTATAAATCAATATATTATAAATCAAATAATTAAATATTATAAAATATTATAAAATATTTGTTAATATTCTTTAAAATACTCACAATTGTTTGATGATTCTAATAAGAAAAATTTGCGAACAATAGATAAATCAGTTCCTTAAAATTCATGTAGTTTCAATGTCGTAAAAAACGCTAATAAATCAAATAAAATTTATTTCACACGTAATTAAAATTCGCACATGAGGTCACAATTTGTAGCTGCTTATTCATTAACATTCTCAATCTAGAATAAGTCACTCGCTATCGTAATGATATTACACAATGTAGTAATCGTAAATTGTTTAAAATATGCGACATTAAATTTCTAAACATTCATATTTAATAAACAAGTCAGTGTATACACCTACACATCGAATGTATATATACATATATAACAAGGTAATTACGCGTAATATAAAAAAGCACACACACGTTACATTGGATACGTGTACATTCAAGCGCGCACACGATATGTTAAAGATTTTTTATTAGCTTCATAGACATTTCAGGATGTCGAATCGACGCTTAAAACCTAACGATCACGTGGATTCTAGTGCCAAAATAGTTTAAGACGAATCGACTTACTGTGTCGACGAACGTTTATCTATATATAACTACATTGACTGGGAAGCATTACGTTATTGATATTTCAGATTTTATATGATTACGTTGAATGTTATGAATACAAACGTTATCGAATGTTGGCTTTGCGATGTTTTGCCGTGAGTTTTCACGAGTGTGAAATTGAATGTCCTTAATCTGTATATACCCAGAAAATACTCCCTTCGAGTATCTTCCCAATTTTTGCAAATATTCCTACTACCACCTCTATATCTACACACTTTGCTCTATGAGAAAATCAAAACGATTTATTTCAATGTAAGGATCGTCTGGATATCGTTAAGTGCGAGCAGTGTAGAATTTCGCAATGATGGGTATAAATAGGTCAAGATACATGGGTCAAGTTACAAATTTTTCCTATCCATAATTAAATGTTTAATCATTCTTTAGATGCGACAGAATTTTTGTCAACTGGGATCATGTTCGAAGCGCTTAGCCGACGCAGCAACATGAAATTACAGTAGAAATGCAGTATCGCTGTGCATTTTGATAATCCCTCCAGCCTACTAATTATGCGAACAACGTATCGGTATTTAAATAAACGCATGATTCTTCTAGCGTACGATTATCATTTTCCTGCGAATTGGAAACAATGTTCTTTATCTCTATCATTTATTGATTATTGATTCTTATCCACGTACTACGTAAGAGAAATGTGATTTTGAAGCAAGTCTTCGAACGTGATCATTATTGTATACTGGAGAGGAGAAGCTTTTATTTTCTCTAAATATTTAAAATTCTATTGCGATATATATACTATAATTGCCGATAGAGCATGATTTTAGAAAGCATATTATTATAGATTTAGACTCAAAACACGTATTATAATTGCGAAAGTAAAAGTCGTCCGAATAAATAATGCGAAATTGAAATGGAAAACAAGATAAGAAATGACGATAGTAACTGATATATAATTGCGAGTTATGTCTCTGTAAGATTAGTATCTTATTATCGTTAAATGTGTGTTAAAAATTTGCTTGTTGTTTAAAAATGTGGAACATGAACTTTCACACAATCGAAATGGTATGATCATACGATTGTTTGTACAAATTTTATGTTTATACAAATTTTAAAGAAACAACGTACTTATCTTAATACGACATATAGTTTTGGTTTTCATAAATTGAAGTTATATATGATTATATATTCTATATATAATTATATTCTATTCTCTATATACTATTTATTAGAAATATACGAAGATTTCTTTTTTTTTCATTAATTATAAAATATGTGATCGCATTACAAAAATTTTTTAATATATCTCCTCTTAAATAACTTAATCTTTTATTAGATTTTCATACAGGATGATTTATGTAATCATGATGGGTTGCAGTTCTTGTTAATTGCAGATGATAAAATTGACATAAAGAAAATATAATTATTTCAATTTATTTTATTATTATGTATAAATATATAGGGTGCCTTCCTCGAAACAAAGTAAATTTCAATTGAAATATTTTTTTGGAATAACATAATTTGGGAAAACATAATTTTCGAACTGCGTCCGAAGCTTCAAATGGTACCCTGTATTAAGATGAAATAAAAAATAAATATTTTACAGGATATTTTATATTCTAACAATACTAAATACAGTATTTTTTAAGACGGTAATATGAATACACAACAAACTTGAAATAAAGGTCCTAAGTGGTCAAAATCTTTAGTGCTTAAATAATTCTATATGAATTTATATACTTATATCCAATCCTACACGTTGCGTACCGAATATAATTATTAAGTTTTGAAGCGCAATATCCTAACAAAACTAGAGCAGTAATATCACTAATTAAATCCGTGTTCAATTCCCGGCCGAAGTAATATTTTTCACAATAAAATTATTTACAGGTTTTAATGCCAATGAGTATTAATATTCTAAGATGCCTATATATGAGTATCAATATTATTAAATTGCTTGTCAATTTCATTTGTAATCGTTTAAGATTTTTAAGATCATTTCAAATTTGTTTTATATTTTAATATCAAAGATATTAGAATAAAATATTTCGTAAACTATTAATTTTGTATAGTCTTATCTTAATATTTTTATTCATAAAATGTTGTGTAATAATTTATTAATGTTAAAATATATACAATTCCCTTAAAAAAATGTAATTGCATTTTGCCGATGCATACTTATGAAAAACATAAGATTTTATTATGCCATTCAATTTTTTATCATTCAACTTTTTTATTTCTTCAATGAAATAAGAGCTAAAACTCGTCTCACTTACATAACTCATCCTGTACAAAAATATAAAGATCTAATATAGAGATCCAATAGGAACATTATTAATAATCAACAATTAATGAAAATTATATTATTAGATTAATTTTACACAAAATATATACGCACAAGTTTTTTCTGCAGAACAAAATAACGTATGGTTTGTTTATGAAAAAAAGTACAGAATGAGTACTCGATTATAGAAATCTATAAACTATTCGAGTTCAAGCGTTGAAGGCATGAACAGTTATGTTCTTTCTTATGTAATTAACAAATACAAATTGGACTCGTTAAGACAATGCGTCCGTCCTTCTATGTCGTATTCGCAAATTCGCGAATAATTACAAAAATTAATTCTTTCATGCGCAAATTAATCGGAAATTATAATTCATGGAGTACTCTTGTTAACTATTTGTTTCAAAAATTTAATTTTAAATTGAACAATTTTGGACTAAAAATTTCATTCTTTTTATAATAAGAAGCTCACAATTTCGGGAGGATCATTTTCATAGAGGAAATTGCAATAATATTTTCTATTTAATTATTAAAGGAATCACGTTTACAAAAATTGATATTGCGCATGAGAGGGTTAGTGCACAGATTTTAATATAACGCATAAGAGAGAAATTAATAAGGAAATGAAAAGGGAGCATGAAGTTTCAACGTTCGAGACTGTTTTAATATTTTATAAGATGCGCAAGCTACGTTAAGAAACTACAATCTCCTACTAATGTCTTTTTCTTTCAACATAAATGACAAGTCGACAGTAATACTAGTTATTGTGCTCATTACGTGTAATGCGAAAATAACACATACAGAGGATTTTCCTTACAGATATTTATTTCTACCGCTAAGCTATTTCATTGTACATGTCAACTTATTTTGCAAAAATAAACTATTAAGCACAAAGAAAGCATTTGTTGTTATCATAATTGCAGAATTCTTGTGTTTCTATTATGTATGATTATAAACATTATTAGTGCGTAAATCTATTTCTATTTAATTCCTCTAATTTCCTACAGAAATTATGTATCAGAAATATTACATTTTAATGAGAAGCTTGATTTAATGACATGTCAATTCAAAAAATTTGTTTAGAAAATAAATGAACAAACTTTCTCATTGATAAAACTCAATATTCCTCTCTGCAGTTTTTAACATTAATCCTTAATCGACATTTGAAAGATTTCCTATTTATTTCATTGGGATCATAATCGGATATATTAATAAATATAAATCCAAAGAGAGCTTCACGCACTTCTTTCTTTCTTTATTTGATATGTTATTATGTCAAACTTTTTATTTTTACAAAGTG